TTCTAGTTGTGTATGTTTGCTTAAAAGGACTCACATGCAATGCGGTTCTGCAGGTTGAACAGTTTAGTTAGCGAAGAAAGTGTTTGCCGGAATAGAAAAACGAATAGTCAAATGTAAACAGATAATTTGTTGGCGCGGAGTTCAGGCAGCATTAATAAGGCCTGACTTAAGCGAAAGTCGTGTAACTAATCTTCTCGACTTTTTCACCTGCAATTCTGCGTGGCAATTTTCCAACATTGTACAGTTTTGAATGTTTATTAAGTAGGTACAATATATTACTAATTTTATATAACAATACAAAGCACAACAATGAAACACTAATCCCACAACTGGACCATCCAATTGCATATTTCCAGTTTAAAGTTGATATCATTTACAGTTCAGGGTTATTTTCAACTCAATTTAACTTAACGGCTTTAAAAAAGCGCTTGGAGGAATCGCAAAAAGTTCCTAATAAAATCAGCCATCAATTCTACGAACGACGCATTGTTCGCTAAATTGTACTGTTTATTTTTGCACTCCTATAAAAAACCCATAAACGCCCAACGATATGCTATTTTCTATTTGCAAAATATAATTGATTTGTTTCCGAGTGTTATATGGGTGAAACGTGGTTCACGCTCTTTTAGAACTAGTGAGTAATTTCAGATTATTCGCTAATTTTCCAAAACAATTTTCTTAGACGGTTTTCTAGTTAGAAATTTAAAGCGCCGTTTATGAAGTAACGGCCCAAGAAAGTAATGGGAAAGTCAAAAATATTTTATGATTTTTCACTGAATGACGAACTATGAGTGAAAAACGAAAAACGGGGCGCTTCAGTGCTCTTTATATGGGTTTTGTGGAACTATATAAATTGCTATTGAGTGTGGTTGTTGAAGGACAACAATGTATTATAATTTGTTTAAAGAACAAATTGTTGCACATATCGATTCACCATTGAGTTAAACGGTCATAGAAAGGTCGCTTATCTTTCGTTTCTAGAAACGGAGAAAAAATAAATTATTCCATCCCAAGGCTATTTTTCACATTATGCACTATTTTAGTTGTTATTCCATAACATTTCAACAAATAATTACCAATGCTGGTTTTTCCAAAATCACATCTTTTTCACCTACAACTGTTTTATGGAAACTGCTGTTTCCGATATGTTGCTGCAATAATTTAATAGTAAATCTAAAAATATTAAATTCTTGCTGTGCTTTTCAAAGTTTCACTTGATGCTTCTCTTATAGATGCGTGGGAGAAGTTGTTTACTAAACAGGAAAATATTCAGGAATTTTCTAATGTGTACGAGGTTTAATGTGTCCCGATTTATTGAGATCACAAGTCAATTTGAATTCCTTGAAAAAACAATGCTGCTTCAAGATTTAGGGAAAAAATTCTATTGCCCAGTGATTTTTCAACTAATAAAATTGATTGATTCGCAACCGAACACAGCGAGTGATGCTATGCATTTAGAAATTTTTGGTTCTTCCTAGACGAATTTTTGAGGAACTCAAAAAAAGCGACTCGCCTTAGAAACTGAAAAAATCATGAAAACTTCCAGAAATTTCCTATAAAAGTGAGTTTTTCAAAAAAAGCCGGGGTCAGTAAGGGTGGCAAAATTCGATGCGATCGCCTACAAAACGAACTATTTCGTCTTAAATCGCATCGCTAATCCCAAAAAAATGGTATAAGCAGGAATAGTGTACGGAGGATTAAAACCGTACTGATATTCAGCTTAAACATTAACCGCATGTTTTATTTTCTTATTGCCAGATTAAGTGTTGTTCTATATTTAAATAGAATGCACTCAGTTCTCCCCTATTCCATTTTAATACGGAACCGACCTGAAGATAAGTGGCAGCGTGGTGTTAACTACATTTGCGGACGACACGGCCATTCTAGTAGACGGCGAAGCTGCAAACAATGTTTGAACAAAAGAACAGAAAAGCTGCYCGGAAAATGGAAAATTCATAAACATTTTACTTATTGCTTCAAACGTCGAGTTTTTAAATAGTTAGGAAAAAATATCACGCTCGAGAACTGATAGCTAGTCGAATTTTTAAGTACCTGTTTCTTCGCTACTGGYTTGAAATGGCGGATGGAAAGTACTGTTTGCTATCAATATAAGTGTGTGACTTTTGCAATTCATGAAATATGTATTATTGAATATGAGCAATACGGGAATTCGTGTGGGTAACCTAAAAAACCGCATCCTACAGTATGATTGTTAAATGGATAATGCAATCGCCCATTATTGCATTTATTGCCTTCAAAACTGTTCGCCATTAAATCACTACCTAATTAGTTATGTAAAAATGCCAATATGTTTTTAATTGCACAATTCCAAAGGTGAATCTCAAAAGTCATCCCATCTGAGCAAGGTCGAGACGCGCTTGGTAAGCTAAGGTCAGTCAAGATGAGTTTCAACAGGGTTTCCTGCTGTATGGATATGGATAGCCTCAATATATAGATATTGAAATGGAAAATTTTACGGATACCTAAACTAAACATTTTACATTTTTTTTAGAACATGAAAGCCATGTGTATATGTATATAACAAGAACGATCGGGCTGTGAAATAAAATAATTAGGTAATTCAAGCGGATATCGTTTATTATTAGTTGGTTAAGCATACAATGTCAAATTCGTTTGCGAATCACTTGGGAATGTGTTTTCTATTATACAGCGGAAATTATGAAATATGTTTTAATTTCTACTCGGTTATCCGGCTTTTTAGCATGAATATCACATTAGTGGGTTACCAAGTATRTTTTACTCAAACTATATGTTTATGCATTATTAACATGGACGCGAGAAGTTACCAAAACTACATGTTGAGARCAAACCAATATACRTTCCASCTCCAATCAAGTATACAAGCAGAAGAAAAGATGAAAAAGAGATGGTCATAAACAGGGTAAAGGCTCTTTGAAAAKAATCATCAAACCGCACTAGAGTGAAGATTTTTTACAAGAAATGGGTCATTCGGTATGACTAGAGGCTCTGTACATCTAATATTTCGAACTGTTAAAGGCGACATCAATCAAAAATCCATTGAAGAAATCCCATTCCATGATACAGCCAATTGCGCTATTTCGTGACGGTTTTTCATTGARTTTCCACTAAAATGCATAGAAATTAAATCAAAATAACGCATTTCCGCCAAAAACATTTTGCTTGTCTATTTTCAGAAAAAGGTTTGGAATTTAGGCTGAAAACTACTTGTCACAAACGTAATTTGCGCTTCTCTGAAGTGCATACAATTTCTGGAAAATGTGAAAACGAGCTTCAACGGCGAACAATTATGTAGGTTTATGTGGTTTAAAAACACATTTAGAATGCAGAATTGTACATATTTAAATGTTTCGCATGTGAATGTGCCAAATATTCTACATTTACTTAGCCGAAAAAAAACTATGGTATCCGATTAATTTCTTTTTCCTTAATAAGCAACTCTAATAAATACGGGGTGTCCAGTCAACTTCCCACCCTTAATATCTTTCTTGCAGTTAAAAATATTAGACTAATTTCAAGATATTAAGGGTGGGAAGTTTTCACATTGACACCCTGTTCTATAAGTTCTACCCGGTTGAGGCGGATTCATGTTTGCAAAAACTTTTTGATGTGCATTTAGCCATAAAAATGTTGTCTTAAAGAACAGAGTTTCCTCTCGCCTCCTTTTATAGACAGATTGATAAAGAGTGCTCTTGTTTTGCAAAATCGTTTTCGTGAAAGACCCCAAAAAAAATCAATGAAGTGAAACGTAATCAATGTATAAGACTCCAAATGCATAATTGTTTGTTTGAAGTTCTATTTTTATCGAATCTTCTGCAACATGCTGTCCACAAGATTAAAATCCAATAAAATCAACATTCTTCAGGAAATCTACAGTATAGGACGACTAAAATAATGATAAAAAAATGCCCTTCATGACAAAAAAATCAACCTTATTATAAGTTGCTGATATTTAAAAACTGCAGTAAAAATGTAATGAGTTTTTGCACTCGTCAAATGCTCTTTTGAAGAGTTACACATGTAGATGGAGCTGCTAAAGTTGAGTTGTTAGTGAAGGAAAATCTTCTATGGGGAACCCAGAACGGCACTAAATTAAGGTCATGTTGGCAGTGCTAAAGCGAAATGACGGCAATATCGAATCGCTATGTGGATACTGAGATGCTAAGCATCTTTTTATTAATTAAATTAAACTTTATTGCTGTGTTTTTCATATGCCGATACTCCATTCCGAACGCTCTGCTAGCAACAGCTAAAACTGTGGGATTACGATATGTGTGTGGAAAATATTCGGGCCAATCCGATAGCCGTCGAAAGTAGTATTCGAATGTTTATTTAAGGCTTAATGGACAATAAAATTTATTTTAAACTATATTATCTTTATTGTGCTGTTAAACCCTGAAAATCGATAGGAGAACCTCATATTTCTCAGCTTAATTAGTGTGTAATTTACGAACTGTCCATAAAGGAAGTGCTCAAATTGATTTGCTTCGTTTTTCAATTTTTTCATTTTGCTCGACTGTACGGCTTGATTGCCCATATTTTTTCTGATTTATTTTCCTGACTGCGTGTGCTTGTTATGATATTCCTATCTTGCCTGGGTTTCAGTCAAAGTGTGAAGTACCAATTTTGAAACATCGTTTATTTCATTACGTTTCGGCGAGACAACAGCGCCATCATCAAATTTACAATTTTACACAAACTCATGATGGGTAAAAATCAACGTCCTTTTGATTGAAAAAAGGCATACTTTATTGACGGAAATTTGCCTGGTTTCGAATGGAAGCAAAAATTGAAATGAACCTTTCCTGATTTGACGCAGAGTGGAGAGTACGATTGAAAAGTTGTTTGAGTGTGCGCGAGTTGTAGCTAATGAATTCTCAAACAAACAATCCAATGAAATTAATGCTAAAATATGCAAATTGCGATTGCCATTATAAATCTGACCGTCATTTTGTTAGCCGAAAAAACCAAATTTCTTCTATACAAAATCAAGGCCTTACCGTTCGCATTTCTGTCAAAAGCTGTGTAGTTCTTTCCAAAATTAAGGCACATTTTTTCAGTTCAATACGTAAAATGTATTCAAACACAAAGCACGAAATGTTTGCAGACGATAGTGCGTTCATTGGCGACGGCCCAGCAATTCAACAAAAGGGTGTTTTTACTACTACGACTTTCGAAATTCGATCCTACCCGCACGGTTTGCCCGACCGAACAAGAATCTCGATTCTCCATCGCAGTTGTAGGAGGATTGAGATTTTCAGAAAACCGCGCTTTACAGTTTTTGGTGGGAGAAAAACTACGTAAACCACGTTGATAAGGCTTGAGCGTTGCGCCGTTAATTCTGCATTTAACCAAAGTTGCATAACATGAGTGAGTAACGTTGGATGACTGTTCAAGATGAATTCAGCCACGAGCTTCCCGGAAAAGTGATGGACATCAGGTCAGATTTGTTGAACATCTGTATTAACATTTGAGCGGAATGAAAACATCTGGTTCTATTATTGCCAATCTATTATAACATGTATTATGTTTTGATAAACTAAATAAATTTCTGTTTAAAATGAAGCTGTTGACAAAGTAGCTGCTCGTTACTGTCCTATTCGTTACTTGACTTGATGCCCAGTTACGACGCAAATTATTCCGTTGATTATTCGAAAATGGCACTACTTTATGTTCCTTTTACTTTATTTTGCTGTCCTCATCTGTCACATGTTCTGCTCTAGAAATTTTGGAAAAAAGTTGCATCTAAATGTCTGATATTCAAATTTCGTGTGACTTTTTGTGACAAATCCAACAGTTTATCCTGTTCCAAAATCTCTATCAAATGATATAAAAGCGAACTCTGTGCGGTGAAAAGCGGTGCTACGTTTCGGTCAATTTTGCAAATTAAAAAAAAACACACAAAACTAAAACTCTTGACTTTTTTTTATAAAAACCATAAAACTGGTACCCATATTTGCACATCTTAAACGGTACTTTGGAGACAACCTTGGGATGAGCTTGATGCAAAAATACAAAGCCGTCCAAAATATTCCGTAGTGCCACCTGGAAAGAAAGAAGAAAATGTGTTTAGCACAGCAGGGAATCTGTCCAAAGCCCGACTTATCTGAAATCAGCAAAGCAAAGAGAGAAAAATATAAAAATCCATAAAACTGCAGTTGCTTGTCGGAAAACTAAACTCAGTCAAGCTAAAAGATTTGCAGATTAAACATCGGTCTTGCCAGCTTTCTTCCCGCTGTCGCCCCATCCTCCATTTTCGACCCATCAATCCTCAAGAAATCCACTACATTTTTACAAACTACCGCACTTGCCATTAGGTCCACAATGATTCTATATTTACATAACGCTATTCAGAAGACATAAAGGATCATCGACCGATTTCGTCCTCTGTCGGTAGCAAACTGAACATTAAAACGCCTTTTCCACGCAACAACACGCCGAACTACGGAATAAACATGATTATTTAATTTGTTATTATTTGATTTGATTTAATTTAAATATGATATTAAGTCTTTGCTTGGATCGTGTCTCACCTTTGTAATCTTCTTCAGTCAAACGATCGAGGAATTGCTCCATTGCTCTAAAATATTCGTGGTGAATGCGCGTGTTAATTTAATTTGAATTTAATACGAAAGAGGCTTTTTATAGTAATAAGAGATTAAATTAACGAAGTTGTAGCAGCTTTGAACGTAATCATCACTAGCCGAAATTAAAATCTAACGGAATGTGCGAGTTTATATTGCAAAGTTACCTGAACTTTTATACTTTCGTATAGACTGCATATTGAATTTCCACATAATTAAAAGGTTTGAAATTGCTTGAAGAAAACTGGAAAAAACCCAAATATATTTTAAATGACGAAAGCTATTCATCTGAATCTGACCCTTAAGCCATAGCCAAATTGGGGAGGCTCAAGCGAAGACAAATCTACAACTTATGGAACCGAAAAGATTTATAACTGATAAAGCAAGCCTGCGAAATTCAACAGAAAGCAGGAACTGTTGGTCCATACTTCTGTAAGGAGGATCATTCTTACCAGAAGTCTTCAAAGATCACTTTTCATCAAAATAAAAGCATTTTGTGAAGCTGAGCTCATAGAAACCAAAACAAAACAAAGTAGAAGTTATGTTTCAATTATCCTAACAAGAATTGCCATATAGTTCAGCAAAGAAGACAATTTCTTTTTTTTTCTCAAATCAGGAACCAAAAATGACAAATTCTATTACATTGTATGTATTTGCTAGAACGGCAGTACTTTTAGACGAACTTCTTAAGCTCTGCTTAATCTCGTTCGCTTCAAATTTACCCTAAAAATGGAAGACACTAGGAATAAGTACGACAAGAAATCTTTAGGTAAAAAAATAATGAAGGAGGGACAAGCCAAAGAGAAATGCTAAAACTTGCACTAGTGAGAAACCATTATTTTATCGGCAACGGAATGGAGAGTTCCACTCAATATTTGTTATACAAGTTAGCTTCCGATGATTCTATCAAAAGCGTACTCATAACACAGATTAAAGTCTTAACTCTTGATGTAATAAGGAACACAGACATGGCAAAATAAAACACCGCAAAGTACGATTTCAGATGTTTTAATAATTCACTAATACAAAAACATTTTAATTAATTTTGTTATTTTTATAATAGTAAAATTTAATTTAATCACAATTTTCTTGCTGTTATGAAGACTTTCGGCTTGGATTTTTGTAACATATATGCAGAAAACTCATCTTACGTGAACATAATACAAAAACTAAACAAAAAAAATAAAACACAAAAAGACGAAACTTAAACGAAATAAATAAATACTACAGTCAGTTCGATTATTGTACAAAATAACTCCTTAGTTGTTTTGCTTTTGACTAAATAACGATTTATTTGAGAGCAGAATTTGGTGTTTTTATATGTTATTATTATATTGCATTAATAGTTAGAGATACATGGATTTGCGTTTAGTTATCAGCTATGTTTGATATATGGCCCTATTTATAATAGTACTGTAAATGACATTCTACTCCCAAATAACAAATATACCATTGCATATCTACAATTGCAAAGAAACGATACCGCGTAATATTTATATAACTTTAATAAATAATATTCTATACACCGTCGACTAACATAAAAATAGTACATCTAAGTATAAACTAAAGAATCATTTTGTATGAATCACTTAAAAGACAAACAAACGGATAAACAAATAATACAGACTTGCTTCTTCCTTATCTTTGAATATGTACAAAACTAAAACCTAGTGCGAATTCCTTATTGATCTTTCGCAAGCAGTCTGGCTAACAAAATAAAACGAAAACTTTTTTTACAAATGTGACTATGACGATCTATGTTACAATTGCACCATTTTTGCTATTTGATAAACAAATGCACAACAAAATCAAGATGATGAAATCGATTGAGTTGGAATAGGCGAAAACATTTAACTAGTTTCATTTTAGACTACAATTCATTTTGCAAATGATTATATCACTAAACAAGTTAAGGGTATTTTGGTTGGAATTGACAGCCTCCCAAGTATCTGTGAATATATCATGAGAGTGTGTCCAATTACTTTTAGGTACAGCTTATGTATTGCATAATGCACAATTTTTTAGTATATGAACGTTGTTATTTTTTTAGAATAACCGTCCCACCAATATTTCTCCTGAACTTGTTCCTACTTTGCCTCTTAGTAACTGCGCGTTTAACACCGCAAGATAACAGAGCAAGATTTTCTTCGCGGCATTCAGGCCTGATTTATCACCTCTAAGTTGAACGTTTACTTAAGCATCAAATTGACGATTTTTGATCCTCGAACTCAATGTAAATGAACCCTGATAACATCACGCAACTATTATTAAAGAAGATCGAAATTGGGATAACGAGATCAAATTTCATATCGAAACTTCTGGGGAAACTTTCAATACAATAAGAACGTTCCTCTGCGATGATAATCTCGATCAATGTAAAATTGAACGTTAGGAATGGTCGGTTTAGCGGTGTGAACCAACTTCCATAGATGAGAATACGGTGTTACAAACAAGAATGTCCTACAAAGGGCAAACAAAAATCAACTCTAGGCGACCAAAGTGCCGATCTTGGACATTTCTTGAGGAATGATGAGTGGGCGCCTTTTACGATAAACCGAAATGTTCGAGAGTAGACTGGCAGAGGACAGATGAAGGTTTCTTGATTGTGGAGGCACCTGAAGACTTAACCTTCTGAAGAAATGAACTAGGAGTTGGAGGAGATTTTTTCAAGTGGAAATCTAGAAAACGAATCGACAAAAACTAAAATTAAAGACTTGGTGAATTTTCAGTCTGCTTTCAACAACTATCCACAATCATTTGTGTGCAAATTCAGGAGAAGAGAAGCAATCTGTGATATTTTATATTAACTGGGGAAGAGCTTTGCAGCAGCAGCAGGAAATATGAAAATGCGCATACTACGGCAACTTTTTGTCAATTTGCAGTTTCCTCACTTTCATTTTGGTCATTCGGCGATTGTCGGCAAACAGGTTCATTATTCCAACCATTGCCTAGAATAAGGAGAACGCACTCACAATGAAGACAAAAAAGTCACAGATGAATTCCAAATTCCAACTAAATCGTAAAAATGAAGTGGCAAAATTGGCAGCAGAACCATCCTCAAAAATCTATCGGTTTTCCCCAATTGGATGAATCTGTTGTTTACTGTAATGAACCAAGATCGTTTCGACCGTTTCCTCCATTTGATTGAATGATCAAATAATATATAATCGATATTTTATAATAATATATTTCGAATTGTTCGAATAAAAAATTCCATTCGGCTAGTAAAAAATAAATGGCAAACATATATAGAGCAACAAATATTAGCGGGGACTGTTTTCATTGATCAGGAGCAAACGTTTTGCTGCACATTCCTTTATCAAACACTGTCGATTTGGTGAAGTTTAAATGCACATATGTTTCCCAAGCACCTAATAGTTTACATAATCATCACAATAATGCTTATGCTGTCACTAACATACATTTCCCGTCTACCATTTACAATAGTTTTGTATTATAGATTTGAAACTTCAATTCTTAGCTAGTTTGTTTGCGGGCCCCATTATATTTTTCAACTAGAAATAGCCAAAAACATGTGGATAAAGTGTTTGCACTTTTAAAAAGTTAAAACAGTTTTCGATGTTGAAAAAACCCATTTAGAGGATGTTATTATCGTGGCTGTTAGTACCGTTTCTAGACTAAACAAGTAGTAACTTACTTGTATTTCGAGTTGAGTAATGTAAAAATTAAGTGACGAAACGGTACCAATGGCATTTGTAGTGAAAAAAGCAATGAAACCCAAAAATATGAGTGTTGGTAAAACGACGCTAAAATCTCTTACAATATAGAATGAACACGTTTTAGCAATAAATTATAAATAAACGTAAAAAATGTTAAACGAAATTTGCTTATGAATAATTCACTAAGTCTTCTTTCTAGCTTGTTGCACTTGGATGGGAACCTCCATAAATGTCACGAGCTCAGCATAAATTCATTTAGTTTTAGGTACAAAAATTGATTTTAATAAATAATAAATACGGGAATAAATTAAGATTTAAAAGTTACGCTGATGTATTAACATGTCGCATATTTAGTGGCGATTCCCTTTGAAGTTTGCCTCAATAAACAATATTTAAAAACAGAACAACGTTCTACTACTTAATAGATAATTGGTTTACTTTAATTGGAATATCTCTTGTTGCGACCTAGCGGCTCTTTCGCCAAATACATTTTGATTCATATAATTATAGCATGATTTTGGGGAAGCGCACTGTTGATATGAAACCCTTGTTTTAAGAGAGCGGGAACAATTTCAAAGCAATCGAGTCTAAAATAGGTCTCAAAGTAACGACTATATTTGTTTTAATAATACTGTGGTGAACTCAACGAGTTATGTTGAAAGGTGTTACGTAAAACAGGATTTTCAGTCCAAAAGCAGCTTCCATCTATACCATGTACACAGTACATAAGTTATAAAATATTTGGCTACGCACACCGCGCCTCGTCAAATCGATTAAACTAGTGAAATACGTAGGGTTGCCGGGGCTCAGATATTTCGCGAATTATTTGTCCATTCACAGTGAATCACATCCAGAAGTTGTCCATCGGTTTTCTACACTGCAACGACTGAGCAATGGGTTTTCGATATTGACCATAATCGATATCGACCATAATTTCGACTTAATCTAGATCAGTTATTGCAAATAACGAACGCACACTAGCTGACCAGCACCCTATAGGCCAGGACTCGCTAAACTTTGATGAATCCAATGGCCGTTTCTCGACAGTTCATCAACATTAGTTTAACTACAATTATTCTGTTAATTGTTTTGGCTGCCCAAACATCAAATGTTCAGCTCCGGACCGAAATTCAAAGTTTCTCTCAGTGATGGTGTGCTTTGATTTCCCACTGTCTGACATCATAGTTCAAAGCAATTTACTAGGAATTTGGAATATTGTTAAACCAGTAACGATCAACGTTGTTGTTCAGACCTTTGAAGATTGCTAGACAATGTTGCAAGTGAATACCGGGCAGACCATCGCTACAATTTAATTTTTGGAATAAATATCCACGAAAATTTTCATCTAAACGGGGGGCGGTAGTCAGACAGGAGGCTTCTGGCCTGGGCCTGCGTCCCGCCTGGGTTGGGCCCGATTTTGCGCCGCCGCAGTCGGTACTATCACACACGGTGCAGCCGCCATCGGTTGACTACTGCTCGTTGCAGGCGATTTTTTACCAGTAAATATCTTAACAGTCCGTTGCAGAAAGTCAGTCTTTTGCGCACTCTGAGACGAAACGCTGTGGTGGTGGGACGTGCCGGACACTTCCGGTTTACAGGACATCGCAGATGAAGTGGAGGACATTGAGTGGCATCGCACCACCATGGGATCACTTCCTGAGGATGAGCTCCAATCGCTGCTAGCGCCCGAAGAAGAGGAGCTGGAAGCCAAGACACCAGCCGAACTCGATCGGTACGGGGGAGGAGACTTGCTCTCCCTGGCTGATCTATTGGGTGGCGGTCGGACACATTTCTGATAAATTTCCGCTTCCTACAAGAAAAATTGCATACGTTTAATGTGGTAATGAAATTTCGCTTATTTATGGGGGTGCCCCCGTGATTTTTAGTGCCCTATTAAACTTCCTTAATTTCTCACATTATTTTATTGCCACGTTCGCAGTCGCAAAAAAACCATAATAAAGTCATAAATATCGTCTGGGTCCCGGTTCTTCATGTACGCAAAATTATGCACGTTCATTACATTGTCGATTCAGGTGCCGAAATAAGCCCATAAAAATGTTTCCATCAAAATTTCGAAGCAGGGTTTATATGC